AAGTCGCTCAAGCTGACGGGATCTTTCGACGGGTTTTACCTCTCCCACAGGGTAGGTCCGGGGCTTTGCCTGTTGAAGGGCTCCAGAGCAGGAGCTCTGCTGTGGCCCTCGGTCCCTGTGTGACCGTCTGCGGGCTGGGAGATGCCCCCACGGGGGCATCAAGGGGTTGGTGGAGGACCCCGCTCTGGGCAAGCGGAGCTGTGCCCGTGACCACCAGCCCTGCCCCAACAGATGCGAGGGTGCAAACACACGTGTCTGCTGGCGGAGCAGAGCCGCGGCAAGAACTTCATCCTCTACAAGCCCAACATCGGGAAGCAGAGCCAGCCCGAGAGCCTGGAGAGCCTCCACAGGAAGTACCGGCGGGTGGGTGCAGCGCCGCAGCCCTCGGCAGGGCCACCCTGTCCCTGCTCCTGCAGCCGCTCGCTGTGACACCCAGCAGTGTCTCCGCGGCCCCTGGGAAGTGCTCGTGCCCCGGCTTCACTGCTGGCTTCCTCGCTGTCCCCACGGGAAGCCGGCACGAGACTCCCTTGTGCTTTGGGAGGACGGTTGCCGTGAGCTGCCCGTGTCCCCGCGGAGGCGGCGGCAGAGCCGACGGCAGCACCCAGGTGTCCTGACTCCCGGCGTGAGGTCTCAACCCGCAGCCTGTTGTTGGCAGTGGAAAATCTCCAGCTCTGTAACGTTTTCTTCCGCAGGTGCTGCCTGAGGAGGCCAAGGAGCACTGGGAGAGCAGTTACCACTTCTCCTTGAAGAACTGCAACCACGCAGCCCGGTAAGAGCCGCGCTGGGGAGGGCTGTGCTGCGGCGGGCCCTGCTCTGCCCTAGCAGCCCGTGCTGACCTGGGCTGTTCTCCCCTGCTTGGCCTGAAGGAACAGGAGCTGCAAGCTGATCCAGGAGGGGAAGGAGTGCTTCCAGGGCATGCGGCTGCGGCACTACTACATGCTGTGCGGGGCCCTGCTGCGGGTCTGGAGCAAGATCGCCAGCATCATGGCAGACATCACCAACACCGGCCTGCTGCAGATCGTCCGCCTCAAGACCAAGGAGAAGAAGAAACAAGTCGGTGGGTGAATACCTGGGAAGGGAAGGGGCAGGACATGGTAAAGGAAGGAAGGGGGATCCAGCTGCCCGCTTCCAAGAAGGGAAGGAAGGCTGCTGGGACTACTGTGACACATTAGTTTGTGCCCAGCATTGGTACATCTCCTCTGGGCACCAGGCCCGAGAGTCCCAGCGAGGCGCTAGGCAAGCGGGACCCGAGCTGGGTGCTCTTGCTTGTGCCTCTGTCCCCTCAGCTTTGAGGACTGAGCCACCTTCCTCCCCTAGGGATAAAGATCCCCGAGAGCTGTGTCCATAAGGTGCTGGAGGAGCTGAAGCAGATGGATGAGAACGTGAAGCGGAAGCACAGCCGGCTCCTGGCCCAGGAGCAGAGCCAGCCTCTAATCCTGCCCCTGCACATCCTGCCGCAGTCCCTGGACCTCATGCAGACGGGGCCCGGGATCCCCTTGCCCAGGCACTCCCTGCCCCAGGACAAGATCCTGGACTTGACCTACAGCCCCCCCAGCAGCAGCCTCCCCGACGTGGCGCTGAACCCCGACGCTGGTGCCTTGTGCTTCCCCCCGGAGCCCCTTCTCCAGCCACACCAGCAGCACAGGCTCCACTTCGGCTTCAGCAGCCCCTCCGCCTTCAAGAGCCCAGCCCCGCTCCTGGAGGGCAACGTGTCCCTGAGCTCCCCGCAGCTGCCCGAGCACAACCCGCTCCCTCTGCCTCACGCCGGACCCCTGCAGACACCGCAGCAGCCGCAGGAAGACTTTGTCCAGCAGAACGGGAATATCAACTTTAGGGAGGTACTGGAGGAGATGCTGAGGACGTTAAATGTGGCCCCCCAGGAGCGCCAGAGCGTGATCCATTTCAGTGGGCCCTTCTCTGACTTCTGAAACCAGCCGAGCCCAGCGGGGCGCTGGGGAAACCGGGCACTGCTCAACGCTGTGGATCCAGATATATCCTTTGGTGCAGAGAGGGGAGATGGGGAGCACTGGCTTTTCTACTCGTTTGGATTGATCCACTTGTGTTTTTGAGGGGGAGAAGAAAGAAAAAAACTGTAGTTCCTTAAAGCAAAGTTTATTTATATATCTAATATGCAGTCACGCATGTATAGATCTGTATATAACATGCGCTTGGGAGGAGTTGAGTGCTGCCAAGCTCAGCTGATTCGGGCTGATGGTCCCTGCTGTGCCCAAGTCCTGCTCAAAGGTCAGTGCCCCAGGACAGAGGGAGTCGCCCTCCTCTCCCTGCTTGTCCCCCTGTAGACTACTGAGTTTTCCAGGCCGGATGGTCCCTTCCCAGCTCCGCAGCAGCTGCTGGTGCCCCGGTCCGTGACTGAGCGATCCCAGCTCCGGAGCGCGGAGGTGGGAGAGCCCAGTTGGCTCCGGCGGCTCCGGGGCTGCTCCAGCGCTGACGATGCCGCTCCCGACGCCGGGCTCTGCGGAGCGGAGGGGAAGGGAAAGGCAGGGACAACCCAGAGCAGCCGGGGGCCGCGGAGCCGGGGTACACCGC